AATTAAGTTACTAACCCTATTTATATCTATATTTTTTAATTTAATAATAAGTAAAATATTATTAATATAATTTACTTATATATTAAAGAATAACCATTTCAAGATTTTATATTAAAATTAAATACTTGTCTACTCTCTATTTTTAAAGCATTTTTACCCAATTCAAAAGCAAAACCTAAAGTTAATACTAGGAAAAATACTATCATTATTAATAAACCATAAATACCATTAGTGTAAGCACTAACAACATAAGGATATATTAATAAAATTTCTAAATCAAATAATAAAAATAATAAAGCAAATATAAAGAAAGAAATACTAAATTGTGTTCTATTTTGTCCTAAAAAAGAATGAAAACCACATTCAAATGCGCTATCCTTTTCCTGATAAGGATTATGAGGTGAAAGTATTAAATTAACTAATAACAATATTATACCTAATACTGGAATTAAAAATAAAAAAAAAGTTGTTGTTGTCATATTTAAAGATTTTAAATTTTATAAGATATAAGTTTTATATTAATATTTTCTTATAGAGATTTAAATTAAAATTAATAATAAAACTTATTATTAAATTAAAAAATATATATATAAGATTTACATAATACATACAAATTAAGCTACATATAATAATAAAAAAGCCATCATTAAAGCAAACAATCCTGTTGCTTCTGCAAATGCAAAACCTAATATAGCATATGAAAATAATTGTCCTCTTAAAGAAGGATTTCTTGCTACACCTAGTATTAATGCACCAAAAACTATACCAATTCCTACACCTGCTCCTATTAATCCTGTTGTGGCCATACCAGTACCTATAATTTTAGCTGCTTGTAACATAGTTTAAAGTTAAATTATGTTTACATATAGTTATTTACAGTTAAATACTTTATATAGCCTTTATTTAAGCTCAATGGCTTAATATCTCTAATATACTAGATATTTCTACCTCAATAGTACTGGCTTGTACTATTAAATCACTACATACAGGTAGAATATTATTTTCTAATGATATTAAGGCTTGATGTTCAACTATTAGTTTGTCTAAATTATCTAAACATTCTTTTAAATACTCAAAAGCCATACGGTAATCAATATCATCTTTACCTGACATATGTATAGAGTAATTATTATGTATAATATTATCTGAACGCATTTGTCCACTAAATATAACGTCACTAGATGGTACACCATTATTTAATGGCTCCATACCTACATTTTCATCAACTATAGAGATATTATCTGATGGTAAAGGTTCAAATATTCTAGCCTCATTATCTAAATAATTTTGATCTAAAGTAATATTATTTTGGTCAAAATTATTATCTTCATTAAAATTTTCCTCTAGAATATCCTCATCAATATCTTCTAGATCTAAAATATTTAGCTCAGGATTATTATCCATATCTTGCTCAGAATGAAGATCTCAATCGTTAGAATGTGAATGTGAACTTACACTACTTAAGCTCTCATCTGACATTAATCTAGGCATATCTGCATTACTCTCTAAATCATCTATATCTATATTTTCATTATCTCTAGTATGAGCATATAGACTTTGTTCTATTTCTTCAATATGAGCTGTTATATTTTCCATATAATCTTCTAATAAAGTAATAGTTGTTTGTATATCATCTATTAATCTATAAGCTTCATTCTTTACTATAGAATGGTTCTCCATATTTATAGATAAATCTCTAATTTGACTTTCAAGTTGTAATGTAGTTTCTGCTACATAGTTAGTAGAAGTTGAGGCTACCTCTGATATTTGAGTTTCAATTTGAGGTGCAGTTTCTACAACATAGTTAGTATCTAATTCAATACTATCTAAAATTGTATTTTCATTTTCATTCTCATATTCATGTGATAATTTAGGTTTTTTGATTAAAGCATTTTCCCCACTAGGACCTTGATCGGATAAAGTGTCAGATGATTTTCTTTTAAGACGTACTGTTAATTCTTGATTAGTATTATTATCACTTAGATATTTTATAGCATTATCTATCGTTTCTGGATTTACGTTATCAGGTTTAGGTGATATATTAGGTACACTTTGATTAATAGCTTCTTTAGCAATTGTAGGCGATTTAGGACTTAAAGATTGAGTATTAATATTTCTTTTGAAAATTAAATTATTAATTGTTAATGTATGTAATGTGTTGTTACACTCAAGATAAGAATCTTGTTTAATTTTTTTTTTAAAAAATTGAGGTTTAATCATAATAAAAGTTTATATATGTTGTTTTTTTTAGTATGTGAAAAGTAAAACTTTGTAAAACCTATATACTTTATACATCAAAGTTTAATTTAAACTTTGAAAAATAATATATTATATATTATTTTTTTTTATTATTAAATTAAAATTAATTAAATTTAATATTTAAATAGATTACATAATGTAATTAAACTATTAAAGTATATTATAAAAATTAACATATGTAGTTTATTATTAAAAGACCAATTAAAATAAAATTATTACTAATTTATATTAATTATATTTATTGAACTATTGTCTTTATCCAATTAATATAACTATTACTAATTTATATTAATTATATTATTGAACTATTGTCTTTATTCCATTAATATAGCTTAATAGGCCAAGGGTAGATACCTAGAATCGAACTAGGATACGTTATGCCACAGATAACTATTTTACCTTTAAATTATATCTACCTAATTTAGATTATGAATCTTAGTATGATTAGTAAAAATAATTATATTATTAATATATCTTAAGTAAAAATATATAACATGTATATTTTATTTTTAATGCATACATCACATCTATATTGTTTTATATAACTCTAAAATTATAAATTTTAATGTTATTATATATTTTTATTTTTTATATTTAAATTACATCCTTATATATAGGTCACATATTCTATATATAAAAGTAAATGTATATTTTAATATTATTTTATCTTTGTTTAAAAGATGAAATCATATATATAAGATATCTTATAATAACTAATATAAATTATTATAATATATAAATATTAAGATTGTAATGGTAAACTTGCAAAAGCATGAGGTTTAGGTGGACTAGTTAAACATCACTCTAAAGAACTATTATTTCTAGTAAAGTATACTTGGAAAGTATCACTAAATAATTGTGGAGTTAATCAAGGATATCTTGATACAGCTTTACCCTCTGTAAGTTGTTTATAAATAATAGTTAAGAAATATCATGTAGCTACAACACTAACAATAGAACCAATACTACTAATTAAATTTCAACCATAGAAAGCATCAGGGTAATCACTAATTCTTCTAGGCATACCTTGTAAACCTAAGAAATGTTGTGGAAAGAATGTTAAATTAACACCAACAAATAAGATTCAGAAATGAACTTTAGCAGCAAAATGGTCATAAGATAAACCTAATATTTTAGGAATTCAAAAATATCAACCACTAAATAATGCAAATACAGCACCCATAGATAAAACATAATGGAAGTGAGCTACAACATAGTAAGTATCGTGGAATGCTACATCAAGTGAAGCATTAGCTAATACAACACCACTTAACCCACCAATAGTGAATAATACAACAAATCCTAATGCAAAAAGCATAGGAGGTGTTAAATGTAAAGATCCACCATAACATGTAGCTAATCAACTAAATATTTTAATACCAGTAGGTACAGCAATAATTAAAGTAGCAGCTGTAAAGTAAGCTCTAGTATCAACATCTAAACCAACAGTATACATGTGATGACTTCAAACTATAAATCCTAATACACCAATAGACATCATAGCGTAAACCATACCTAAATAACCAAATACGTTTTTACTTGATGCTGCTGAAATAACTGTACTAATAATACCAAATCCTGGTATAATTAAAATATAAACTTCAGGATGTCCAAAGAATCAGAATAAATGTTGGAATAAAATAGGGTCACCACCACCAGCTACTTCAAAGAATGAAGTATTAAAATTTCTATCAGTTAAGATCATAGTAATACCACCAGCTAACACAGGTAATGATAATAATAATAACACAGCTGTAATAATAACAGCTCATCCAAATAAAGCTAATTTGTGTAAACGTATACCAGGACTTCTCATATTTAATATAGTAGTTATAAAATTCATAGCACCTAACATACTACTAATACCACTTAAATGTAAACCAAAAATAGCTAAATCTACACTAGGTCCACTGTGAGATTGTATACCTGATAATGGTGGATATAATGTTCAACCTGTACCAGCTCCATTTTCTATAGTAGCTGAGAATATAAATAAAAATAAACTAGGAACTAATAATCAAAAACTTATATTATTTAATCTAGGAAATGCCATATCTGGACCTCCTACTAGTAATGGTAATAAGAAATTACCAAAACCTCCAATTAATGCAGGCATAACCATGAAGAAAATCATCAATATAGCATGCGCTGTTATTATACTATTATATAACTGATTGTCTGATATATATTGAACACCTGGACCAGATAATTCTAATCTAATTAAAACTGAAAACGCTGTTCCAACTAAACCAGAAAATAATGCAAACATTAAGTATAAAGTACCTATATCTTTTGCATTTGATGATAAAAATCATCTTTCTTGTCATTCTGTAGGTTGTTTAAAATCTAACATTGTACCTTCGTATGCTAGATTATCTGTTTTTTCATTAGTATCTATTGTTGAATAGTTACGTACAAAATCTGTATTTTGTATTTGATCAAGATTAGAATCTTGATTGTTATTTAAAGAGGATTTAACGAGGGACAAAATTAAATTATTATTAAATTGTTTTTTTAGTATGTTTAAAGTAAA